ATTAGAGCCTTTTGACGTCCCTAATAAACCTCATGGTATGGGTCAGTGTGTCCTGTGGGCTATTGCAATGGATTTTTTACCCAGTAGAGCAGAAAGTTGGTGGTGGATTAGTAGAAAGAGGTATGAGAGCATGAGGGGAAATGTCTGACCTCATGGGAGTTGATTTTGTGTTATGGATGATGATGATGGGAGCTACTCCTTGTGGAGTTATTAGAGGTCAGCGATGGTCCATGCTTTCCCTGCCCCTTTTGCAGCATGGAAAGTACTGTGTTACCAGTATTTTCACATAAAAAGAAAAAGAAAGCTATTTGAATGTGATGCCAATGGTGCACATTTCAAAGGAGATCATAGTTTATTCATCCTCAGTTAAAAAAACTCATCCTGAGTTTTCTTTCTCTAACAATGATATGTAGTATCTTTGTATTATAAAGACTTGACTTTTCTTATGCTAGTTTCTCTATATATAGTATACACATTTATTCTTCTATTGTTTTTGCTAATGTTCCATAGAGTTGACTCCAACTCATAGTGACCCTGTGTACAACAGCTCTGAACCCTGCTATGTCCTGAGCCAATTTCATTGTCTCTGACACATCTACCTCTATTATCCTACTCACTGGGTCAATAACACTTTCTTAAGATGCTGTATTTACAAAATTCAAAATACAGTATTTAGTAGAAAAATTAATGTAAAATAAAATGTATATGAATGTGTATGAAACAATGTAAATGAAAGATTGTATAAAATACAATGTATCAGAATGGAAAAAATAAGTGCATGAGTTTAAAAAAGATACTATATAATGTGGAAGAGTCTAGATAGCATTTGTTGAGTGAACTAATTCAGTATTATAGGGACAAATTCTTCATAAGACCATTATTATAAAAACAGAAGGATAACTGATTAAATTGTATATAAATGTTCACAGGGAAAAGGAAAAAGGGGAGAAGAGGTGGTTAAAAGAGAAGGGTTAAAATCACTAGAATAACAGAGTTCAGTGGGTGGATAGGAGGGTGAAGGAGGACTTGAAAAGCCAAGACAGTAATAGATTCAGGTCAATATTAATCATGTTGTTGTTGATACGTGCCATGGAGTCACCTGTTACCCAAAGTGACCCTATGTACAGCAGCTCTGAAGCCTGCCCTGTACTGAGCCAGTCTCACTAATTCCGATACACCAACCCCCATTGCCCCAGTTACTGATCGATCCATCTCATCCAGGATCTTCCTCTCCTGCACTGGCCCTCCACCCTTCCAAGTATGATATTTTTCTCCAAGTATGGGTCCCTCCTGGCCACATGCTTAAAGTATGTGAGATGGAGCTTCAAAATCCTAGCCTCTAAGGAGAAATTTAGTTTCACCCTCTCCAACACAGTCCTGTTTATTTTCTTGGTGGTCCATGGTATGTTCAAGACTCTTCTCAGCACCACAATTTGAAGACATTAATTATATAAAATATAATGTATGTGAATAATTTTATGAAGTGCAATGTAAATGAATGATTCTATAAAACAATGTACATGAATGAAACTACGTATCTGATTTATAGTATGCAAACCAAGAAAAAAAAAAATAAAAAACCAACACAATGATAAATTCCAAGGAACAAATCAGGTGTTCTTTTTCTCTTATAGGGTTTTTTTTTTAAATACATTGATAAACTTTTCAAAGTTTACTAATTGCAAAAGCCTAAAAGTAAACATTAAGATGTACTTTTTTTTTTAAATCCACATGGCAAGACTGGGCATCATCTTATTTAATTCTAATATGTGAAACCATGGTGTTAAAGTCAGAAGAATTTTCACTTTTTCCAACTATTATGTGATGTGAGTGCATAGAGGTAACTTGTGGTTGCTGTGTTGCTAACACTGATGTGCTGCCACACCAACTCCAAGGGAGTCTGAGTGACAAAATCACCCGATTGAGGCGAAAACTTCAAGGAAGTCAGCCTCTCGGAACGTGTGCTTTCTCCATGATTGTTCTTGGCCTTTCTGTAATTTCTTTTCTATTGTCTCTTTGTGTTTTTTATGTGGGACAGGGGAAAAAGGCTGTGTTCTTTACACAAAGTGTTCCTACTAAAAGTTTGTTAGATGTTCCCAGAAAGAACTAAATGGAGGTGACGACTTTGATATGCAAACATTACCACTGGTTCTTTTAGCATTATTAAAACTTCTCAAGAACAATATGATTTTAAGGGAAATACATGGATGCATTATAACAAAAAG